TTTATTGGGACGTCCCTTCGATGTATTAACGGAGAGTTGCATCAAAAATTTCAAAAATGAGGACCAGACGATCACGATCAACGACCCCAACTCTGGAATTGTGTCCACTATCCCGACATTTCCAAGAGGTCGCCCTCGATTTCGAGGCCCCGCCTCTAGAGCGGGATGATTTATTTTTAGGCGACTCAGACGAGGAGCAGTGGGCGGCCCTTGTCATCGAAGAGACAGATACCCCCGCCCGGTTTCAGATTTCTGCGTTCCATATTTTAGATCATCAAGAAAATAGCAAAACCTCAATACAAGATTCCATTCCTTTCCTTTATCTCTCCGCCTGCGAGTCTCCAGTGGTCCGGTCTTATTTTTCATCCGTTAATTTATTTAGTGGCGTACCGAATTCGCCAGTCCCGATTTTTGCTGCCACAAAGAAAAAGTATAAACCAGTCGCCAAGAAGGTCCGAGCGGTCCCTGCGACGTTGCCCAAGGAGTATAGAATCCAGCGCAATATTGTAGGAGATCCGCTGGCCGACATGCCGATTTTATCCCCAATTCCCCCTTCCTTCCAGCCAACCGGACGATATTCACAAGAGCGTAGTGATGCGCTACACAAGGCCCATCCTAGCAGATTCCTTATGGATGCGGAGTTAAATCTAAGGGACGAGTTTCTGTGCAAGCACAACCAGGTGTTTGCCTGGAACGACTCGGAGCATGGCCGATTTTGCAAGGACTTCTTTCCTCCCATTGAATACCCAGGTACCTCGGACCACTTATTACAGTGTCCAGGAACCGTGGCGGAGCTTATATCCTCGCTGAACTCAATGGTACGCTCTTCGATCGACCCTTTGCTGCGTTCCGCGTCATTCCCTACCTCGCAAGAAAATCTATTACGCTCCCGGAGGATTTTACAGATGTCAGCGTGGATCAAGTATGAAGGATGGAAGAACAGGACGACCATGGGGACGATGAAGCAGACCAAGATCCTCAAGACGAAGCGAACTGAGGACAGTTCAGATTTCAGTCAGGGGGAGGGAAGCGATGGGCCCCATATACCCAGGCATTTTCGCATTTTTCGAGTTCTTCGCATTTGTTTCGCTCACTTTATTTCGCTCCGCTCCTTGATTCGTGCCTTAGTTAGGACACACATAAAACACAAATATCTCCCATCACTCCATCGGACAGTTCGCAAGCTATGTGACCACTTCTATCATTTTATTTGATCCTTTACTCTGCGCACCACTTAAGCGCTCTCCCATTTGTTTATTTTATATTATAGAACAGACCCTCTTTCTCCTTATTCTGAGCGGACAATATTCATTGCAGATATATTATACAGGACGAAGGACCACAGACAAGGCAACCGGAGCAAAATACGAGTATGTGACGAAGGCGACGGCGGCACAGGGATGGCCCCTTACATGGTACATGGAGCAGACGATGAAGACAAGGGAAATGAAAAAGGTCCGCATTTAGGAGGAAGGGCTCGGAGCACGACCCCGTACCTCTCCCTCACTGTCCAGAGTCTTCTCCACCACGCGCGACTCCTCGATGGCCTTCCACACTTCCTGCCGCGCCTGATCATTCACCCTCTGCGCCTCATCCAACTCGCAATGGAACCGCGTATTTTCCTCCCGGAGGCTTACCACATTTTCACGAGCCAGGATCGACTGCTCCCGCAGCTCCGCAATAATCTGATACAGGCGTGCAAGTTGGTCCGGAGCTATCTCGCTGCGCGGGAACGGAGAGATGAGGGAAAGGTTGGAGTTCGGCGTATGAGAGGGAGAAAGGAGCCTTCTTTTTTATCTGCAGGTCGCAACGCGGAGACTGAGGACAGTCAAGATTTCAGTCAGGGGGAGGTGATAAGCCTCAGGATCGTCTGACCCCCAAAAATGTGGACTCAGCACATCGTACAAGCCCTCCGGAGCTTATTCGACACAGCACTCACACGCCACTGGGCTTCTATGGGCTGTAAAGAACTGCTCTATTTAGCTCCGGACTTCCTAGCATCCTCGAGGCGTACACAGACCCATTCCGCGATTTATCTCCGCAAACAGGAGCTCCGGAGCGACTTAACCAACGCAACTTCTAGATGAATTAGCTCCGGGGCCGTGGGCACTTCTATCAAGGGGCATCGTCCTCATGCCCACCCTCCAGCACTCACTCCCCCTTGTTTCCGTCAAGATACCGAAGGTGCGGACGCATACGAGTCACCATGAGGCCAGCATCAGTCAGCAAGCGGCCGGAGGTAATTAGCACGTGACCGGCGCGTCACACGGAGTGATGGGACTGCTTGGATCAGGTGGCAGAGCATCAAGGCGACCTCTAGGGGTTGGGACGAGCAAGTAGGAGTGCAAGGGAGTCGTGTGGTGCATGGTATAGCGGCGGCAAGTGCTGAGCAATCCTGTGGGTAGCGGCGGTTATTTGTTATTTATCTCCGGACGGTCGCAAAGCCATTCCTGTAGTATAAATTGTACAAAGTAGCGTACAGAAAAACAAGTTTCGACTTCACCATCTCAGAGAATTAGAGTTACGATCTCAGCGACCCGAGAAGTTCGAAAGCGTCGAACTTAGCGAATTATAACCGATCTTAGCTTTGCCAATAGGCCTGACTCGTCGAGTGAATTATCTCCGCCATCGATCCAATTAGCTCCGGTGAGTCTCACATAGCGAAATAAAATTAACCAAGTTTCTCTAGCAATTTCTACTCCCGTGGGCCCGAACCTACACTCGGTTTCGTGGTTTGCGACTTTGCTGCGACTTTCCGGAGATAAATACTCCGGAGCGTCCCTTAGTGTTTGTTTCAGGCGTCTAAGGTTTTGTTTATTTTCTAGGTCTTCCTACGGACTACCCTACGACGTCTTACTCCTCCTTTCCCCCTCGAACTATTAAATACCCTTCAGTTGTCTCGGACCGCCTTCACCCATA